AAAACGAAACAACGCTACCAAGGTGGAATGTTAGATTTTTGCTAGATGTTTTTAAGACAATATCTTGATGAAGTAGATGCACAAGAGTCGTGCGAGATCATCATGATTCTGAGTAAGCTTTACGAACACTATTTGTAAGGAAATGTAATATTGCCGATTATTAGTGTTAAAAATGGATTCGCAATTGTAGAAAAAGGGTAGGTAATGTCGCAAATCTGAAAGCAAAACCATAATCTGTGTTAAAAAATGATATGGAAAAATATGCTTATATTTCTGATTATTAAAAGAAGTTTAATTTTGTAGACCTGTGTTATTAGCGAGGAATTAACTGATGAACAAATTAAAGTACGTATCATAAACAAAGAATGGGTAGTGGTTTTAACTCTTACCGAATATTTTATTTATTTCCTTATTTTACGTCAAAAACAGTGAAAATTGTGTGTCATTGCTACGAGAAGAAGTGTATTTTGTACACGTTTTCTAAACTCTGGGATCCCTATTCTGAGCCATATACGAGTTTAATATTGTATACAGACGGAAATGAGCGTCTTTTGCAAGAATTGATAAGAAAATATGCGTTACGGTGTAGTCAAAATATTTGTAAGAGCAAACCAACTATAGATTTGGGCTCTTCGTGAAGAAATGTCTTCGTACTTCTCATCGAGCCCTTCGTGAAGAAATCGACTTCCTGTTGCGATAACATGGAAAACGATCATTTGAATAACTTTATTTCCCTCTGAATGTAGAAGATCTGCACAGTGTTACATTTACGTCCAGAAGCAAAAGAAGGGACCAACTCATCATTCGCTAAGAAGATCAGGAAATCTGGATGAAAAACCTGATCGAGATGGATAGGGATCATTGACCCAGAAACTCGGCTTCAGCCCAATGAACAGATGTACCTATCTTTCTCAACGTGTATCAACAATCATGAACCTACTATTATCAAATTTGAACCAATTACCACGATATTCATAAGAAAAGAAGCAGTACAGAGGATATACCAAAATCCACGAGTATAAATATCGCTCCAGGTAATGGTAAAGAGATGAATAAGGGTAGATGAAATGATTGATTTGTGTTCATCTTTGTGCTTATCCTGTTATAAATACAAATGCCACCGTGATACAAAATTAGCAAGAAGGCGTAGTTTGGAATGAAAAACAAGCTCTTCGATCAGTGCATACGTACTACATGAGCAGTTAAGAGACACACATTTACGGAAAAAGAGATCCCAATCTTGAGAAAACATGTTCAAAGTCTCAAAGTTCAAGTATTTACTTGAACGTTTGCACGAGACCGAACAGTGTTAATCTGATCATAATTGTATGGCGCCCCCCGCGGTATCTATATTTCCAGACTTTGGAATATGCATTTCTTCCGACGACTACTGTTACCCTAAGAATTGGTGTGATCTAGTAATGATAGATCTACAGAAATAAATATCTATTTGTAGTTCAGCACTGCCAGAAAATGTTTACAATGTGTCACGTTTTAACTTGTCGATTTAGGAATGTTTGTTTGTGCCTAGAATTGTGTTCAAGTTGGGATGAGCCCAAACAAACGGTACTGTTCAAATATATGCGTCTATTTACGATGAACAGATTCATGATCAAAAACTGGAGGAACATTTTCTACAAATTTCGAACAAATTGGGATGTTTATACTATTTGGTTAACAAAATCTTCAAGTGTGAATGCTTCGTATATTACATTGCTTGTTATGTATCTATGTACTACAGGAATCTATAAACTTTTAGTTTTAAATTAGGCAGACTTGTCCCCTTTTATTTGAGAAATTGGTTTCGAACGGTTTCTGAATGATTCTCTGGCGGCGTGTATTTTTGGCAATTTTATGGGCATTATTCTAGGAATTGTATGTTCGTAGAAACAATTCTGCTTGACTTCTAGTAAATAAATGGTCTTTCAAACTTTGACGGTGAAATTTGAATTAATTTCGTAAGTTCCTTCACGCCAATTGAAAATATGAAAGATAAAGGATCGATTATTATTCAAACACCTCCAACCTCAGGAAAACACCACTTATTTTTAACGAATAGTAAATAATTCAGAAACGTTATTCCACCATTTTAGTTTGTTTCGAAAATCAAAGAGCTTAGCACACACTATTTAAAAAATATAGAATTAAACTGCATTAATCACATTAAACTTCTCAAGTTTTTTTTGAAAAAATATGAATTTTCGTTTTCAAAAATTAATTCACAAAAAGCATGCAAAAATTATATTAAATGATTTCGATAGAAGAATGGCCAAGATAAAGTCGATTTTTAGAATACGAGGTGAAGGAAATTTTTACTATTCTAATGAAAAGTACCACAAAACTGCATATATCAACTTTAAGTATCCAAAGATATAAACAATACTTCGGGGTGGGTGATGGGGTATCACAATGAATTGAACTGCTACTTAATCTTGTTATGCCACTGTTTAGGAATGCCCATTTATATTACTGGCATTTGTTAAAATCATGAAATACTGAGTACCCAAATTGTTACATTTTTCCACATCGTATTAATATTAAAATATACATTTCACAAGACCTTTTACGAGGCATATTTTGATACTCCTTGTATGTCCTGTTCTTTTTGTGCACTCAAAAAGATTGAGCTATGCATTTCACAGTCCTCAGTAGTGAACGGGACTACCCTAAATGTATTCAGAGCTAATATGTCGCTCACAATGCGCTACAATACTTAACTACGAGTTATATCTGTGATATTTGCGGTCATCGCTTGGAAATGAAAATAATACAAGAGTATTTGAATAGGGGCAGACATACGAATTGTGACAGTTTGTGAATATACACTTTTTTCAATGTTTGAATATTTTCAAAGATGAATCTTCGTAGTCAGATGAAACAATAGATTCTTTAGTTTACAAATATTGTACGTAATCTCAACTGATTTAATAAGTTGAATAATTATTTTGAATTTACGATCTATAATGCAAATTATTCAAAACAATGTGTGTTCTTTCTTCGCAGTTGACAAAAAACAAATCATTAGGTAAATATACTGACTTGCGAGTCTCGTTATTATATTAGGAATATCAACAGTGCAAGTTCTGGGTTGCGGAGAAGGTACTTCATACCCCCGGGTTTCAAAATCAATTACTGCGAACAATGGCCAAGTTTCATGCTGTTCTCTCTACTTGCTACTGCCCTCCAATCTCCTTTTCAGGACCCGATCTCTCTGACATCGCTTCATTGACCGGCAATGAAGAGACCGAGATTGGAGGGGTACGCATCGCTATCAGAGAAGCCTTTGTGCTTTGATGAGTATTGATCTCCCTTAACTCATGTAGTTTTGGTAATAGTGAACGAGACATGAAAGGCAAATTTAATTTCCTCGAAGTATGCGATGATATGGATATTTGGATAGTTAGAATCAGGGTAAGGTTGATAGATGTCAATGAAGTGTGATAATATTTATAACGTGAAAAATATACGTTTTTGATTCACAGAAGAGTGAAACTTGCCTTAAGTGACGATCGGGGGCCGTTAGTATTGTTGGTCACTCAATAGAGGTGATTACCGGACATCCGAACTAATTTTGTTCGCAAGGAAGTGAAGTATGGTTTGTTCGTTGTCACATTTTTAATTACATTTAAAAGTACAAATACCGGAAGCATATTCGTTCCAGTACACTTAATCAGCTCGTTTATAAATTTTCCAGCATTAGATTTACTTTCTTTTTTACATCATTGTTTTTTTTCATTTGAAGACTTGATTCCCAACTGTATTTGAAGCTGAAATTCACATACTGCGGACAATTCATGAAAAGTATTCCTAAAACTTAAGGATTTATTCAATATTTTAAAATAATAAGCACTTTGCTGTTGTTCGGCAATAGAACGTTAAAGAGTTCATTTTACTATTCGAAATGTTTTTTATATTATATTACATGAGTTTCGCCACAGACACTATTAGTAGATAAATATTTTTGAAATAAAACATTGAATCACATTATTATAAACTTTAAAGTTATATTTTCCTGTGCTTTGTTTGAGGCGGTGCCAATATATAATAATGTTCAGAAGTTTGTGAATAAGTTAGCCGAAGCTCTGAGTATTGTTCTAAGTGTTGCCCAAGAAAAAGCCTCTTTTTTGGGTACAAACGAAGTACCACGCAAGTGAGTAAAACGACGGGTGCAGATTATGATAGCCCCTGCTTTCGCGTTCAAATTTAGACAGTTGGACTCTTAGCACTCCAGGTAGTGATGAAGAACACAGTCATTTGTTCATGTTCGGATCGTCTTATGCGGTGTAGTGTTTATTTAACATTTGCATGCTTCAAATTTAGGCTAAATCATATACTTACGGGGGCAAAACTTATCTTTTGGGAATTTGGATTTGATGCGGCAATGGTGCACAGCATTTCGTCCTAGGTTAAATTTATTTCTTAAGTGAGAAATGTTGAGCGTAGTTTAAAAGAATTTCGAAATTGTGGTAATGTGATCTTTGTTTAGATCCCCATGGATCTGGGAACAGGGTATAAACAAGGGCGCTTGTATGATTTTCCTAAGGTATTTGTTTTGTACCGTCTGAAGTTTCTCTATTGATGAGGGTGTTGCGTTTCCCCAGACAGGGCCAGCGTATCCTAAATTGGGTAAAATAAATGATTTAAATATCATAAGCTGATATTCAATTTTTAACGAGGATTTACGATTTAATTATAAGTATAATTCTGACATTTTCCCCTGAGCTTTATTTACCAATGCAAGGATATTGGGTTTCCATGCTAACCTTTACCGTTAAGAACATCAAGATATATAATTAAACATTCTTTTGATTATTCATTAGAATATTGTGTGAATATTCCCTTCTGCAATTTATTAAAAATAAATGGCTTCCTAATACAACATTTTTGATTCAACTTCTGAGAAACGACAGCCAAATTTCATCAGTCAGACGCCAGCAGCCAAATAACATCTAATGACTGCCATTTTCCTGAGAAGCTTCAAAACTTGGAGGTGTGCTTACCTTCTTGTCACCACCGCCTGGGACGTAAGTCTCGTTCTTGGCGGCGATCTTGGGCTGCGTCTTGCTGAAGTCCAGCTTGTGGTGCTCGATTTTGACCCGGCCGCCGCCGGGCTTGTAGGTGGCGTTGTCCAGGGAGCCGATCTTGGAGCGCACCGCCTTCAGGTTGGGCGAGGGCGCCGCCCCCACCTGCACCTTGTTCATTGGCACCTCTGCGAACAACGAAACGAAGCTCAGAACCTCGTGATGTGATATTTGACGTTGAGGAATTAGATATTTACAACACACATTTTTAGTATTCAGAACGTGAATGTTGTGTACTTGTAAATACTAAGTCGGGCTTCACTGCAATTGCCCATCACTTGCACTTTGTTCATTGGCACCTCTGCGAACAACGAAACGAAGCTCAGAACTTCGTGGTGCAAGGCGATGTTAAATTTGAAGTTGAAGAATTTGATATTTACAACACATTTTTAGTATTCAGAACGTGAATGTTATATACTTTTAAATTCAAAGTCGGGCTTCACTGCAATTGCCCATGTTGTCATGAAAGTGATAATTTTAGAATAAATAGGGGCTCAAAACTTGGGATGAACTAGAACAGATTCTATTGTTGCATAACTCAGATAAGTTGATGTGAAAACTGAACAGGGAAATAAATTACGAAATATTTCAGTTTAAAATACATCAAAACCTTATTTTTCCCGCGCAAGAAATGGCGTTGAAGAAGAAGAAGAAGAAGAAGAAGAAGAGGGAGGAAGAGGCAAGAAGCACGAGAAGGTAAAGAAGAAAAGGTAGAAGAAGAAAGAGTGGAATAGGTAGAAAGAGGAAAAGAAGAAAAGTTTGTAGACGGCGAAGTTGAAAAAAAGAAGGGGGGAGGAGAGGGAAGAAGACGCGCAAGTGAATAAAAATCCGACATTGACTTGACATTAAAGAAAAAACAGGCAAAAGAAAAATAAGGCAGAAAAAGGAGAAAAAGTCTTCCTGTCTCCTTGTTGTCATCCAAACATTTCAATCGCGTGATGCCGAAACCCCTCACGTCCTTTTGAGCTATGTTGATCACACGATATAATCTCTCTCTCTCTCTCTCTCTCTCTCTCTCTCTCTCTCTCTCTCTCTCCCTCTGTCTGTATGTCTCTCTCTGTATTTGTACATACACACATCGACTGGTATACAATTGGCTCATGACACCCGCGAACTGTGGATGTAACATGTGGCCTAACTTTTCGTTTGGTGCATGACCGGGTGCGAAATAATTCAGTACTTTTCTTTCTCCAGAAAAATCGCGGGGAGCGGAGAGGAAAATTTTCGTGTGGAGCGGACTCGAGGGATTTCTGCGCCAAGCGATTCACCAGCCGTGCGTGCTCCGGGGCGGAGACGACTTACTTTTCTTGTCCGATGCGGACGGCTCGGCGGGGGCCGCAGCGGCGGCGGCGGCGGCGGGGGCGGCGGCGGCCGGCTTGCGCGCGCTGCCCTTCACAGGGGATTTGGGCGTGCCTTTGGTGGGCGAGCCCACGCCCGCGCCTGTCTTCTTCGCCGGGGACTTCTTCGGGGAGCCCACGTCGCCGTTGGTAGTCGGCTCCTGCAACAGCGCAACATTCTCAATCACCACACCCACCGACACAAGTTCCAGTCTAAAGTACTTTACGGCTTCCCTCTTTTTTGGTTAAGTTTTGTATTTCCTACAATTATAGGGGGAGGAAGTCATAAGAGAACATGTGATTTATACAGAGTGGTGTAAAAGTGTGTAAGTAGTACACAATAAGTACGCGTGATGACTACGGGACTTGGGGCATTGACCTCCATGTAGGCTTTGCACCAAGAGTGCGGTTTCGAATCGTGCGTAATGCACGAATGTATTCGATTGTGTTGAGGCATTGGGTGTATTTACAGTACACCAGGTACCACCCCTGAGCCTGAATACTTCCTTTAATTGCTATTTCACTAAATTAGTGTAAGTCGATGTAATGTGTTTGATGCAAAGGACTGACGATATTTTGCGTTCAGCCCCTTCTCGGCCATGTTTCCAAGTTCCGTTCACCCAGAGCGCACGAATATGCTCTTTAAAATTTATAGAAAATTACGGCGGAAGATCACGGCAAACTGATTGATTAGTGATTACAAGCGTGTTAAATGCTAAAATAAATAGTCCCGTAAGTAAAGTGTATGTTTTACCGCGGGATGTGGTGATGGTGACCTTAATGTTGAGAGCCGGCACCAATCTACATGGGAGCGTAGGCTTCCGCGGCCGGAGTCAGTACTTACTTGGCTGTCCGGGTGACGCCGCGTCCATGGCAAAGGCGATATCGCAGTACGCCCTGAGGAAGGTCGCAGAATGGCGACCGAAACGTCGGCACCTTCGCCATGGACGCGGCGTCACCCAGACAGCACAGTAAATACCAATCTACAGGTCAGCTCGGAGGATTTTCCCCAAGCAAACCTCTTCCACCAGCGCGGCACCATCCTACTCGGGTTAATCTCGAACCTCCCGACATGTAGTGTAGTGCATGTAATTGTAGGTGTAGGTAAGGAGTGACGATAGATCAAGAACGAGGAAGGAAAATTCGCGTGTGATTTTTGACCCGCTTGCAAGGGTACTGTACTGGCATTCGCATGGTATAGATAGGAGAAACCACGGAAAACTGCCGAACAAAACAGTCAGCCGCTAAAATTTTCCTTCAGACAGTGGCTAAATTCGACTTAGCTATGCAACCAGTGTTCAAAATACTGCCACCTCCGGGAGTGGAACCCTAGGACCTCCCGGTCCGATACCCTGAAGTAACATAGTAACAGCAATTGCCCCCCTCCCCCGAGCCACCTAAGCCGGTGACTATTCGAACAAATCGACTATCGAACAAATGCCAGTAATAATAATAATAATAATAATAATAATAATAATAATAATAATGAACGTTTAAGTAGAGTAAGATAAATGTGATACGTAAGAAACAAGGATGAAATAAGTTGTAGGATTTACATTGCTTGCAAAGATACTTAAATTACTTCTATCCGAGAGGATCAAGGCACAAATAAAATTGACATAGTGCTATTAAAAAATACTAATTTTTTATCGGATGAACATTAATGTGTCTGTACTGATAACAATTGGAATGTAGTTACTAAAAATCTTAGATTACACTCTCGATATTTGTCGCGCTTTAGCTAGATAACAGCCACATGAGTAAATATGTCTGCTGGATATTGGCTGTTTGAATGTAGTTGTATTTTAATTCAACTTTTTAAATAATTCATGTTTTGATTTTTTTTATTCGTCACATTTACGCTGAGTTCAATATAGTAACTACGACATCTCTTGGGAATTATGTCTTGAAAACATTCATGCATTCCTGACCCTCTTTACCTATTTATTTGTTTCTCAGAGTCACCAATAGACACATCGTGACAGATATTAACGTTTATTACCTCAAGTTACAAAAGCTCAAAGTATTATAAACTCTATAATATTTACAAACACAAGAAAATGCCCTTTTTAAACGCACAAAAAGTCCTCATACACTTAAGTTTATAATAAAAATATTACATCAATAAATAACGTGATTGGTTTTTATTTGCTTTGATTATTGCAAATGTCCTGGATTTCCCCAACTCGGTTGTAATCACTGAACCAATTAAATTCTAATATCTTGAGAGAGGATGTTTATGAACTTTTTTATTATACAAACTATTTTACACTTTTTTTCTCAAAAAACAGACCGAAGATGCTCTACAGGGTAAAGGAAATTGAGACGGTGTACGTGTTTGTTTTTTGGTGATATAGCCCTATCGAGTCGATTATTGAAGGTATAATGTTTTGGGTCACTGACAAGTTGAAATAATTGTTTTGTTTTTTACTGATACGATATTTATTGTTATTGCCTACGATACACTACATAACTTGCACATCGAAAGGATCGAGGGAAATTTTAAAGCAGTTGAACGATGCTACATGTTCTCTCATGGAGGGAATTATGAGAGAGCATTATAAAAGGAAACTATGTGAGAGAAATATGAAAAAAAAATCGAGTCAAGTTAATATTTTGATAATTAATAAATAAGTAAATCTGAATCAATAAAAGTAAGTAAAAAATAAAATGATTTATGAACCGTGGGCGTAAACTGGTTCAAATGATCTCGAGAGACAAAAAGCCCTCGGCCCAAAGACCCTCAGGCATTTTGTCGCCACTAGATCATTAGAACCCTTATAACGCCATTGATGAATAAATAACTATAATCTCTTTAGGGTATTAAGTAGATGTTTTTGCTCGGAGGGACACTTCAAAAGTCGTAGCAACAAATAACACCCGGGGTGTATACAAAAGTCATGATTTATCAGTTTGTTACTGATCCAAACAAGAATTTGAAACACGTTTCAATTTGTCTTGCATCAAGAGAAAAAAGACGCATTGCAATCGTCAGTTGCTAATATGACATCGAAAACAAAATAGAGGGTGAATCTGATTACTATTGCATACTCGTACCAATACCTTCGGTAATAGACTGATCCGCACAAAATGAGGTTCTAGTTTCTTCTTTCATAAACTATATATATAAAATTTGATATCCATCTGCATAGCTGTCATATAGCATCTGTTAAGCTTTACATATTCAATACATTCCGTGTTTAATTACATCCTGCTCTAAAAGACATTTAAATTTTAACGTTGCAAGTGTACGATCACTTTTTGCACTAACCTTAGTTCTGCTCTTCATAAAGTCATATATTTTTCAAAAAAGTAAAGTTCAAGAAAACCAGGAAAGACATTTTTTAATTCAGGATTATTTTGTGTAAAGAGCTATAGTAGTATCATATTAATCCAAAATAATTAAATTAATAATTCTCTTTCTAAATTGGAAAATGAATCAAATACTTACGTTTCCTTGTGTAGATTCGTCCACCCCACTATCATGGTCGCCTTCTGTAAAAGAGAACCATATTTATTTAGTAATTTATATTTCAGGTATAGGTCAATGATTCTAATATATTATCATAATTTGATTTAATTGATTTGCTTCGAATATTAAGAAGGCAATATACCCTTGGTAAAATTAGAAATGATTCTTATTCCTCATTTTTCAACCCGCAGATAGCGGTTATTCAGATATTCGAAATACATAGAAATATTCTATTAAAAAACAAGAGAACAAAACAGAAAAGAAAAATTTCTCTTAACACCAACCTATTTAACCAAAAAAATTGTATATTCTGAAAATATTTTTACGCAACCAGTTAAAAACTAACAATTAAAAAATAATACAAATGGGAAAGACATAACAAATGGGGAAGACAAATAGGAAAATAAAATACGTATTGAATAGGGGATTGAAATCTCTATGGTTGAAAGAAGAGGGGTGTCAGTCATTGTTTGCCGCTCCGTCTGCTCCTCATTATGGCAACGCGAGATAAGGCAGTTGTTGTCAGCTGCGCCGAAGCGTGTAAGGCAGAGCACGCTCCAAAGAACACCGCAGACGCGGAGACAGCTCGACAGGCCGTATCTTCTCTGCACACAGGGTGAGCCTCAGCGGTTAACAGCTCCAAGAGGCGACGGGTTCCGCGAATTGCTTTTATTTCTGGATTGTTCTATGTTATGAAAGAAATAAATCAATAAAAATGATGTAAAGAATGGTACAACTCAGAAGGCGGTCGTTAAAAATTAGTGGAGAGAAAATTCACAATCTACTATGTTTGTTTGCTAATTAACTTGGAGAGAAAACATTGTCAAACAAAAATACTTTCTATGGCTGTAAAGAGTAAAAAATTGTGACACATCAAATAAAATGCAACGTATTTTTGTTTTATTAGAAAACTAAGTAACGTAGTTGATATTTTATTGTTTTTTAATTCCTAATGTGAACTTGACAAAAATGAAGTGGATCATAAATTGAGAAGACAGCAAATTTTTACACGGCGATTAGTTGGCCTTGAAATATTAGCATAATATTGTGTGTGTCATAATCGCCTGACACATTAATTTTTTAAGAGATCTTAAAACATTTATAAAATAATATAATATTGGAAGAGGGAAGAAGAGAACGTTAATATGCAAAATTTTAAAAACAATTGTTAGTGTACTGAAGCCGCAAAATGTTGAATGAAGAAAGACAGGGAGTCGATAATGTTCCTCGTAATGACTACAGTATTGTTGGCCCACACAGTGTCAAGTACTGTTCTCCAGATTTACGACGCAAAAAATCAGAATTTCTGATTTTTAACATTTTTTTTAAAATTGGAAGATTTGTATTTCTTAAAGTCGCAGCTACTGCTCTAGAATATTTTCAAGTAGTACAAAAAATTGGTAAATAACGTAAAAGAAAATAAGATTTGATTTAATGCTACAAAGAAAAATAATATCATGATGAGATAAATATGACATTATTTGGTTAGATTCAGAAACCTCGAGATATGCTACCGATTGAGAACGAAGACTGCTTAAAACAAATAATTTAACTAGTGTGAATAGTTAATTATATCAATAATTTAACTAGTGCGAATAGTTAATTGTATCAATAATTTTACTATTTAATTTTATTCTTATTTTTTTACATTTCAATACATTTCTCTGTAGTATTTTTGTGCTGCGTGAATTTGTCAATCCTCTCCCAACACTACGCGGACAAATGCTTTAAAAGTGCAGAAAGGGAAGATTGATGGAGATCTGATGTTTTAAAACGCGCCTCTGTACGCAGTTTCGGTTATCAAATATGTACTCGTGTCTTCTGCAGTCCAACAAAGCTAGATGGAGAAAGAAAGTAATACAAAAATAAAAAATGAACAAATATTTAGATTTACAAGAACTAAAAAGTCATACAGTGACGGGGTAAATTGTTGAAAAAATACCAGCTACTCTGCCAATCAGCTGATAACACCAATAAATATAATAGATCCCAAGCTGATGAAAGACAACAAAATACAACAGTTACACTTACAGAAAGACAGAACAGAATAAAAATAGTTACACTTACTGAAGCATGTTGTAATCAAGTATTAAATATATAAATACAACATGTATTTATGTTGAAATGAATAGGAACGTAAAAAAAGCTATTTATTCATTGTCTCTTTAAAACGTCAAGGTCATCAGTGACCCCTGTCATTATACAATTGAATATATAAACATAAATGGTATAATTAGTACAATGACAAAAATGATAAATTTAATCACATTTTTCACAATAGGTACGGTTCAATCTAATTACATTTCGTGTTTTGTTAAATAACCAATAAACTATCTTTTTTCATCTGTCTTTAATCAACTTGAGATCTATTATATTCAATTTAAAACAACAGACAGATAATATAAATACGGTTACGAAAAAAAAGAAAGCAAAGAAACAAAACAAATGCACCCATCCACACAATGTGATTGGAAGGAGTGAAGGAGCGGGGGAGGGGTGGGGGTTGCGCACCTTGTGTCTCGACCTTGGCGCGTGGCTTCTTGCGCACGATGCGTCGCTTGGCGGCGCCTGGCGTGGGGGCACGCTCCTCCTCCGACTCGGTGGCCGACTTGCCCGTGGGCGACTTCACCTTGCCCGGCACCTTCACCGCCACCGACTTGGGCGCCTTGGGCTTGTCGGCGGCCGCCGGTGCCGGTGCCTCCTCGCCTTCCTTCTTCTCCTCCTCCGACGCGCCCTCCGCGTGGCCGTTGGTCAGCGCATCCGCCTTCTCCTCTTCCTCCGCCGCCTCCTTCTCCGGCGTCGCCTTGCCGCTGCCGTCCTCCGGCGTCACTTTGCCGCTGTCTTTGTCTGGCGTGGCCTTGCCGCTGTCCTTCTCCGGGGTGGCCTTCCCGCTGTCCTTCTCCGGGATGACCTTCCCGCTCTCTTTCTCCGGGGTGACCTTCCCGCTGTCTTTTTCGGGGGTGACCTTCCCGCTGTCTTTCTCAGGGGTGGCTTTCCCGCTGTCCTTTTCTGGAGTTGCTTTCCCGCTCTTCTCCTCTGGCGTCGCTTTGCCGTTCAACTTAATTTCCTTTTCCTCTTCAGTCTTATCTGGTTCAGTCTTTTCGTCCTTTGCCTCTTCCTCCTCGGTCGCCTCCTGAGCCTCCTCGGCCTCCTCAGTCTCGTCGCCCTTGGCTTTCGACTC